ATATAATCACTTTACAAAGTTGTCATGTCTCTTTAAGTCCCTCTTGGCTGTGACAGTTTCACAGCCTTGTTTTGGATTGCCTTGCCAATTTTGAGGAGTGCTTATTGGATATTTTGTAGGATATCCCTCTATTGAAAATTTTTATTGTAAAATATACATAAAATTTACCATAGCAACCATGTTTTAATACACAATTTGGTAGCCTTAAGTGTAATATATTCACAAGGTTGTGCAATGATTTTATTATCATTATGCATTTTCAGAACTTTTTCATCATCTCAAACAGAAACTCTGTACTCATGAAAAAATAACTCCCATTTCCCTCTCTCCCTAGTCCCTGGTAAACTCTGTTTTCTGTCTCTATAAATTAACCATTTGTAGGCACATTATACAAGTGGAATTATACAATATTTGTAATTTTGTGTCTGGCTTACTTAGCAAAATGTTTTCAAGGTTCAGTTGTGTAGTATCATGTCTCAGAATTTCATTCCTTTTGTTGTTGTTGTTGTTGTTGTTAAGGTTGAATACTATTGTATTGTCCATTCTATGTATACACAAATTTTGTGTTTTATCATTTTATTAGTTACAGGAGAGTTTTATTTCTTTTTTTGGATTTTCTGTTTTAAAATTTTCTTTATAGATAGTCATGTCATCTATACACAAAGATTGTTTATTTCATCCTTCCTTATCTGTATACTCTGTTTCCTTTTGTTGTCTTATTTCACTAGCTAGAAATTCAGATGTAATGTTAAATAATAATGATGATAAAGGACATGTTTGTGTTGTTCCCGATCTTAGGGAGAAAACATCAAGTTTCTCACTATTAAGCTGTAGATTTTTTTTGTGGATGTTCTTTATCAAGTTGAGGATACTTCCCACTAGTCCTAGTTTTCTGAGCGTTGGTACCTTCAAGGGTGTTGGATTTTATCAAATGCCTTTGCTGCATGAATTTATATGGATCCTGTAATTTTTCTTCTTTAACTTCTTAATGTGCTGTGTCATTGATTGATTTTAGAATATTGAATCATCCTTGTATACTGAGAATAAATCCCACTTCCTTGTCTTACATAATTCTGTTTAGACATTGTTGGATTATATTGGCTAACATTTTACTAAGGATTTAAAAATCTTTATTCATAAGGAATTCCAGTCTGTAGTTTTCCTACAGTGTCTTTAGCTGCTCTTAATATTAGGGTAACGCTAGATTCATAGAATGAATTGGGAAGTGTTCTTTCTGCTTTTATTTTTCAGAAAAAAAGATTATGTAGAATTGGTCTTTCTTCCTTAAATGTATGTTAAAATTTACCAGAGAAACCATCTGGGACTGGTGTTTCCTTTCTTGGAAGGTCACCGACTCAATGTCCTTGCCTAGTCAGATTATCTGTTTCTCTTTGCATGAGTTTTGGTAGTTTGTATCTTTCAAGTAATTGCTCCATTTCATCTACTTTATTAAATTTTTGGGCATAGAGTTCATAGTATTCCTTGATTATCATTTTAATTTTCATGGGACAATTAATGATGACTTATATCCCATTTCTAATATTGGTATTATATTGCTTATATTTTAAAATTTTCTGTATATTATAATGTTTTGACATCTTTTAAAAAATCCTTCCTGACTTGGGAGAAACTATGCGCTCCTGAGGCAAGCCAACTCGTAGCTAAGCAAAAGGAGTTATCCAGGGAGCACGGCTTTGGTATATAAAAAACTAAATATCAAGCCCTACCTCCTCTGTCTGGCCTATATACAACAAGTCTTCCTCTGTCTTAACCATTGCAGAGATACCTACCAGATAACTAGGGACAACCTGTATACCCCAAGGCCCTCTGAAATTATTCATACTAGCCAACCCTAATCTGTTTACTCTACCCTACCTTGCTTTTCCTGTGGAAACTCTAATAGAGGCTCTAGTCAAGGCTTTTCTCTGGCTCCTGCTTTCTGCCTCCTGACTAACTACCCCAAGGCTTCCCCATGTAACCCTGTATGGCATGGCATGGCTCCTGTTTCTAAGACCTGTAAGTATAAGAAATGTTGTTTTCCTCTCATGGACACACCTGACTGAACAGCACAGAAAATAACACAGAACAGGCGATTTGGATCTTCTCTTTTTCTTGGTTAGCACAGCTATAAGTTTATTGATTTTAAGTAGGTTCTGGTTTCTGTAATTTTCTCTATTGTTTCCTGGTTTCAATTGCATTGATTTATGATCTAATGTTTATTGTTACCTTTCTTTTGCTTTCTTTAAGCTTAATATTTTTCCTTTAGCTGCTGAAGGTAGACATTCAGATCGAGTTTAGATTTTTCTTCTTTTCTAATATATGCATTTAATGCTAAGCACTTCAAGCACTGCTTTCAGAGAATTCCACGAGTTTTGATGTTATATTTCAATTTTTATTTAGTTCAAAATGTTTTTTAGTTCTTCTAGATATTTACCTGATCCGTGTATTATTTAGAAGTGTGGATTTAAGCCAGGTGCGGTGGCTCAAGCCTGTAATCCCAGCACTTTGGGAGGCCGAGGCGGGTGGATCACGAGGTCAAGAGATCGAGACCATCCTGGTCAACGTGGTGAAACCCCGTCTCTACTAAAAATACAAAAATTAGCTGGGTGTGGTGGTGCCTGCCTGTAATCCCAGCTCGGGAGCCTGAGGCAGGAGAATTCCTTGAACCCAGGAGGCGGAGGTTGTGGTGAGCCGAGATCGCGCCATTGCACTCCAGCCTGGGTAACAAGAGCGAAACTCTGTCTCAAAAAAAAAAAAAAAAAAAAAAGAAGTGTGGATTTAATTTGCAGATATTTTGTGGTTTTACAGCTGTTTTTTAACTGATTTTTAGTTTCGTTTTATTGTGGTCTGGGATCACAGTTTGCATAATTTCTGTTATAGGCTGAAGTGTGCCACCGCCCCCTCCCTACCATATATTGAAGTCTGAACCCCCAGTACCTGCGAATATGATCTTTACAGATGTAATCAAGTTACGATGGGGTCATTAGGGTGGCCAAAATCCAATATTACTGGAGTCTTTATGAAAAGCAGGAATGCCATGCAAACAGAAAAACACACAGAGAAAATGCTACATGATTATAGAGGCAGAGAGAGGTAGTGGTTGCTGGATTATGTGGTAACTGTTTATAAACTGTTGAAGAATGGCTAGACTATTTTTCAGAGTGGCTGCGCAATTTTCACATTCCTACTAACAGTTTATGAGGGTTCGAGTTTTTCTACATCCTTCTATTGGCCATCTTTTATTTATTTATTTGTTTATTTATTTGAGATGGAGTCTCCCTCTGTTGCCCAGGCTGGAGTGCAGTGGTGTGATCTCTGCTCACTGCAACCTCTGCCTTCTGGGTTCAAGTGATTCTCCTGCCTCAGGCTCCTTAGTAGCTGGGATTACAGGCATGTGCCACCATGCCTGGCTAATTTTTTATATTTTTAGTAGAGACTGGGTTTCACCATGTTGGCCAGGCTGGTCTAAAACTCCTGACCTCGGGTGATCCACCCACCTTGGCCTCCCAAAGTGCTGGGATTACAGGTGTGCCACTGCACCTGGCTGTCCATCCTTTTGGACAGCCGTTTTAGTGGGTATCGAGTGTCATTTAATTTTGGTTTTAATTTTCATTTCCTTGAAGACTAACAATACAGAGCATCTTTTCATGCCCTTTTTGGCTATTTGTATGTGTTCTTTGGAGAAATCCCTATTCAAGATCCTTTGCCCATTTTTAACAAGGGTTGTTTATTTTTTTATTTTTTTGAGACAAGGTCTCACTCTGTCACCCAGGCTTGTGTGCAGTGGTGTGACCATGGCTTTCTGCAGCCTCGATCTCCCAGGCTCAAGCGATCCTCCCATCTCAGTCTCCTGAGTAGTTGGGACTATAGGCATGCACCACTGGACCCAGCTGATTTTATTTATCTATTTCCTTTTTTTTTTTTTTTGTAGAGATGGGGTCTTGCTCTGTTACCTTGGCTGGTCTGGAACTTCTGGGCTCAAGTGATCCTCCCGCCTTAGCCTCCAAAGTGCTGAGTTTACAGGCATCAACCACTGCACCCACCTGTTTTTAAATTTTAATAGTTCTTTTTATAGTCTAGACACAAGTTATTTATCAGATATATAATTTGCAAGAATTTCCCCTCTTCCTATTGTTTGTCTTCTTACTTTATGGTATTTTTTGAAACAAAAGGTTTTTAGTTTTGATAGTGTCTATTTTTCTTTTTTTGGTAATGCTTTTGATTGTCATAGTTAAGAATCCATCAAAAATTCTTAGAATTGTAATTCAAGGTCATAAAGATTTGAACCAACAGTGTCTTTGAAGAGCTTTAGAGTTTTAGCTCCTACATTTAGGTCTTTGATCCATTTTAATTTTTGTATATGATGTGAGGTAAGGATCTAACTGCATTGTTTTTGCACTAGGATATCCAGTTGTCTCCCCATTTGTTGAAGATGATTCTTTTCCCATTGAATGGTCTTGCACCCTTGCTAAAGATCAGTTGACCATACACACATTAAGATTTATTTCTGGACGTCCATTTTATTCCAAAACAATTGGAATTATTAACTGCTTATGTGTTTCAGGCATGATCCTAAGCATGAATTCATTTGCATCTCACAATAACTGTGAAGTGGGCACTATTCTCATTCCCTTTTGACAGATGAGGTGGCCAAGATACAGAATGTTTTGCCCAAGGTCACATAAGTAACTACTAAGTAGCAGTGCCAGTGTAAGAAATTTAGGTTGACTAACTTGAGAGCCTGAGATCTTAGCCGTGCATGCTGTAAACAGAAGTTAGAAATCAAAACTTCAGAATTCCACTGAAGAGTTCACTTTAAGCAAATGGAGTGAAGGTCAGAGTAGCCACTAAGGGTTTGAAAAGCAAAACGGGGAGGGACTTCCCCACCAGCTTGCTTTCTGTGGAGTAGCAGCAATGGACCTGCCTTTTTTGGTTAAAACTCCTACAACTCCCTCCCCCTCCACCCCCAAGCTGATAATTTGCACTGGCTGTATGTCGAATTTGCACTTAGCTCCTGGGGCAGTGGTGAGTGGTGCGAGCAAGGGTCGGACCCACTGCTAGAGTCTCCCGCCGCTTTCGACACAGAACGTGGGAGCGGGAAGGCCTCGGCGCGGGGGCGGGAGGTTGCCCGGGATGCGGAAACTCTCGCGGGAAGGTGCGTGGTTGCTTAGGTAACGGCGTCGCAGTTGCCAAAGATGGCGGGGCGAAGTCTTGGACCCTCGGTAAGTTCAGCTCCAGGCTCCTGGGGAGTGTCTGGGCTTCGGCGACTGGGTTGCCTAACCACTTTTATCTTCGGGTCTGAAACTCTCTCCCTCTTTTGTAGAGAAGCAGCGTTCCACGAACTCCGCTCCCGCCACCCGTTCAGCAACCCTCTGCACCTGGACCGGACCTCCTCGCTTTGGAGGAAGAATATAAGTAAGAAATTCTGCGGTTGAGCTTTCCTTCTTTCTTTCATCTAAATGAGGCTGCTTAAAAGTACTTTTTCTGAAGACTGGCTGGATCTTCAGGACCACTCACTCTGCAGCATTCCCTTCTCATCATCTCGTTCACTCGCGGTTTATTCTTTCTCTTTCACCTGAGTAGTTGGCCTGCGTCTTAGAAGATATTTGAAGTGGGCTAAGTATAGCCCAAGTAAACAGCAATATGCTTTTGGAAGTTATTTGAGTAGCAGGAATTGCCACGAATAGTTCAGTTCCTAGTTTAGGTTATTTCACTTAGTAGCAAGTTCATAGAGTTTACCTTATGTAAATTTCCTTTACATTGGTTTCTAAATTGAAGCATGTTTCCTAGTGCAGTCAGAATTACCGTTCTCGGTCAAATGTTCCTTATCTGGTCTCAGGTATCTTGACAAGCTTTCATTCCTGGCCCATTCCACTCATCATCCCTAAGTTTTCACACAGCAGCCAATGTAATCTTTTAATTTGATCATGTAGTTTCTTTGCTTAAAACATTACAGCTGTTTCCTCTTAAACTTTAAAAGCTCCTCCTGCCCGCTTTTTACTCGATCTTATTCCCGCTCCCATTTCCCCCCTAAAACTCTCCAGCTTAACTGGCCTTTTAGTTCGAAAACTCAGTTTGTTTTTTTTTTCTGTCTCAGGAAAAAGACAATTCACACATGCCTTCAACCTGTATTGTGAGTGGCCTTCCTTGACTATGCTAAGTAGGCTCCCTTGTTGGTCTTTTTCATTGTCCTACTGATTTTTCCTTCTAGTTAGCATAATTTGTTACAATAAATTCATTTGTTAATTTCCTTTTTGTCTGTCTTTTCCACTGGACTGTAAGTTCCAAGGGCAGAGACCATGTCTGTTTGCCATTGTGCATACCCTTATAAAAAAATGTCTTTTAACAACTCCCTTTCTTTTTGATTTAATATATAATAACTAGTTTAAAATTTGTAAATAGTTGGGAGTTTGTATCAGAGGGTTAGAGTTACTGTATGAGCTACATATGATGTATATTTGAACTTAAAACTGAAGAGTACTCTGTTTAGATGAACTATACACCAATTTACCACAGCAGTAGGAAGATAATCATTTCTTCTTCTCTCTGATCAAATGGGCCTATTATCCCAGTTCTCAAGTGTACTTAAACAACTTAATCTGTTGTCTATATAGTTATTTGAGAGTATATTTTGCAACTGGCTCTGGTGCATCGTTAGGGATATCGTCCTGCTTAAAATAAGAAATATACAGGGACGATTATTCTAGCATGAGTTGTTTTATAAAGCAAGATCCTAAACAGTATTACTTGGTGGCCAGTTGTTACTTGTTCTGTTGTCTGTACTGAGTTGTGCACATGTGAAGCATATCAGCGGAGTAACTCTACACTGCCTGAATCTTCTAGAGTACTTCTGTGTCAGGTGGAAGAGTAAAATGTTTGGCCATCTCTATAAGCAAGAATATGAGATTATAACAATATGGTATCTATTTTGTCGCCTGTTGTCTTGGCATTAATCATTAGAATGCTACTTCCCAGGGCCCTGAATCTAAAACCTTTTGCAATTCTGCTCCTGTTGCAGGAAATAATCACTATTTGAGAGGATAGACTAAGGAAGATGCTAATCACTAAAGTGGATAGGTTTTTCAAGCTTCATTCCTGTATTATAATATCAATAGCTAAACAGTAAGATTACATGATAACTGGTAGGGCAAGCCCCCTCGTAAATCCCAGTTACATTGGATTTACAGATTAATTTGCAGATAACGGACTTATTTATTGAATCTTTCACAAATATGATACTTCTTCATTTACAGGTTTTTTTAAAAAAATCTTTAATAGTGTTTTGTTTTACTGCATAGAATTCTTGCATATATAATTTGCTTAAAGGTGCTGAATAGGTTTTGTTGCTATATAGTAAGTGGACTTTATTATATTTTCTAATTGGTTATAAATGTAGGATTTTTAGATGTTGGTGCTACATCTATATTTACATATGCACACAGATCTTCAGTCCTGCTGGACTCTCTTATTCATTCTATGAAGTCCCTTGGATTTTTGATGAAGACAGTTATATGCAAATTATGATCATTTTCTCCCTTGATAATTCTCCTGCATTCTCTCTTTTTCTCTGTTTAGGACTTCCCATGTGATACAGAATAGAAAAAGTGATGGTGAGCTTCCTTACCTTGTTTTTGATTTTGAGAAGCCCACTTTTAATAATCACTACATTTGAGGTTTGCTCTAGGGTTTTGGTAGATTTTTTTTTATGTTTAAAATTCTTCCCTTTAATTCCTAATTTGAATGAGTGTTTAATATATCAAAACTTCTTTTTTCCCCAATTAATTCAGGTGGTGGTATGTTCTTTTTCCCTCCTTTAATGCTTTAACATACTGAACTGCAAAGGCAGCTTTCTTGTTTTCTTTTAAAGACTGCTAGATTTGATTGGTATAATTTTTTATGTAGGTTTTTGCATCTATGAACAAAAGTGAAATGGGCGTTACACTTTTCTTCTAGTTCTTGTCCTTTCTGTTTTTGATATCAATATTATTCTGGCTAGATGAAATAAACTGAATAGTTTTCTTGTTTTGTTTCTTTTCTTGGAAGCTTTTTATAATTAGAGATTTTTTTGCCCTTTGATTAAAATTGTGAAACTGTGTCAGTGTAGTGTTCTTTTGTCAAGGAGATTCTTTTTGTCTATGAATTTAGCTTCTTTAATGATTACTTAACTATTTAGATGTTCTATTTCTAGAATAATTTTTGGTTCTAGAAAAGTGTGCATGTGTGTTTTAAAATATATTAGCATAAACTGACTCTATGGTTGTATGTTTGAAATCTTGACTGTATCTATAACCATGTACACCCCTCCTTTTGGTAGCTTTCCAATATTGTTTGTTTTTGTCTCTTTCTATCAAGGTTCCTGGGAGATTTATCTGTCTTATTGGTCTTTTCAGAGAACCAGCTTTAGTTTTCTTGGTAATCTGTGCTAATGTAAAATTTCATTAATTTTTATAGAAATAAAGACAGATGATCTCTTCTAACTGGGGTGGATTAATTTTTGTTTTTTTTTGTTTTTTTGCTTTTTAGTTTCTTGACCTCATTTATTTTCTTATTTTTTAATAAATATATTTAAGTCTTTAAATTTCTCTCCATCTGTATCTTAACTACATTCCAAGACTTCTTTTGATGTATATTTCTCTTATGGTTATTAAGTTCTAAATATTACGTGATTTTCATAGTGATTATTTAGAAGGGTGTTTTTTAATTTGCAACCACATAGAGTTGTTTACTGTTGTCTAGTTTTTACTTTTCTAAGTATGTATGTGACAGGGTCCTGCTCTGCTGCCCAGGCTGGCATGCAGTGGTGCAATTATGGCTCACTGCAGCTTTCAACTACTGGGCTCAAGAGGTTTTCCTACCTCAGGCTTCCAAGGAGCTGGGGCTACAGGCACATGCCACCATGCCAGGCTAACTTTTTTTTTTTTTTTTTGAGGCAAGGTCTCAATCTGTTGCACAGACTGGAGTACAATGGTTGATCTCAACCCACTGCAACCTTCACCTCCCAGGCTCCTGAGTAGCTGGGACTACTGGCATGTGCTAGCACACACGGCTAACTTTTGTATTACATTTTTTTGTGGAGAGGGTGTTTTGTCATGTTGCCCAGGCTGGTCTTTAACTCCTGGACTCAAAGGATCTGTCTGCCTCAGCCTCCCAAATTATTATTATTCTGATTTAGATTACAGGCATGAGCCACCATGCCCAGCCTAGTTTATTTTAAATTGCATTATGATTAGAGAATTGATAAGATACTAAGTTTTTTAAATGTATTGAGACTTATTTGTGGCCAAGTGCATGTTCACTTTTTGTAGAAGTTCTTTGTGTTCTTTGATAGAAAGTATGTTTTTTATTTGTTGGCTAATCTGTTAGATTAAGCCAATTATATTTGTTATGCATGATATCGGTTTCCTAAACTCAACTTTTTTGTTTGTTTGTTCTGGCTTTATTGGGTTCTGTTAGAAGTGTATTAAAAATCATCAGTTATAATTATAGAAAAAAATTTCTTATAATTGTGGCCATTTTTGTTTGGGAGTACCTTATTTGACTTAGGTAAATCTTGTTGATTCCTTTCATTCTTATGCGGTGTGTTATAGCTTTCTTCATTGTTTATTTTCAAACTTTGTCATTTATCAGTAAGAGCATTCTTTTTATAACCAGTCTGATAATTTCTGCCTGTTAATTAAGTGAATTTAACTTGTTTACGTTATTACATAACTTGAAGTTGTCTTAGCCACCTTATTTTTTATGTTTTGTATTTATTATGTCTTGCCTTTGGTTCTTGTCTCTCTGCTGCTGGATTGAATGGATTTTCATTATGTCTTTATTGTTACTGGTTTGGAAAGATATTAGAATGCTTTAACTTGGTTTTCTCTGTCTTTTAAGTTAGATAATATTTTACTTTGTTGTTTTGAATACACCCATACCCAGTTAATCATCAGTGTTATTTTTATAGTCTGTACTAATTTAGATTTGGCATGTTTTTTGATAGCTTCATGCTTCTTTTTTTCCAGATTCAGTTTTCCTCCTTTCTGAAGTGTAGATGCTTCATTACTTCTTTCTGTGAAAAACTAAGTCTTAAACTCTTCAGTCTATTAGAAAATTGTTACTTTGCACTTACTCTTCAATGACGGTTTATCTGAATGTAATTCTAGATAGCCAGTTTTTCCTTCTCAGCCCATTAAAGATATCCTTATATTGTCTGTTGGAAATAGAAGGGTAAAAATGTTAGAATGTTAGAAACGTTAATGAGTCATCTGCTGTCAGCTTTTTAGATGATTATGGTGGTAGACTATTTTTCTCTGTTCTTTTGAAATAATGATTTGGTAGTTTAGGGAGTACTCTCTTTATCTTTAAAATTCTGTACTTTTACTATGATGTATACACATGTAGATTTGTTTTCTTTATTCGTCATGAGATCCATGTTTTCGGTTTGGGAGATTCTCAGCATTAGTTCTCTAAATATTGACATTCTCTCCTCTTGGGATGTCTTGTCTTTTCTTTTGGAGACGGAATCTTGCTCTGTTTCACAGGCTGGAGTGCAGTGGCAGGATCTTGGCTCACTGCAACCTCTACCTCCCAGGTTCAAGCGATTCTCATGCCTCAGCCTCCTGAGTAGCTGGAACTACCAGTGAGCAACACCACACCTGGCTAATTTTTTTTTTTTTTAAGATAGAGTTTTGCTTTTGTTGTCCAAGCTAGAGTGCAGTGGCGTGATCTTGGATCACTGCAACCTCTGCCTCCTGGGTTCAAGTGATTCTCCTGCTTTAGCCCCCCAAGTAGCTGGGATTACAGGTGCCTGCCACCATGCCTGGCTAATTTTTTGTATTTTTAGTGGAAACAGAGTTTCACCATGTTGGCCAGCATGGTCTTGAACTCCTAACCTCAGGTGATTTGCCTGCCTCATCCTCCCAAAGTGGCGGGATTACAGGCATGAGACACAATGTCCAGCCTTAATTTTTGTGTTTTTAGGAGAGTTGGGGTTTCTCCATGTTGGCTGGTCTCCTGGCCTCAAGTGATCCTTCCTCCCCACCTCCCAAAGTGCTGGGATTACAGGTGTGAGTCAACGCACTCAGCCCTCTCTGGGATTTCTTTCTATAACTTATGTTATAGTAGGTACATAACATCTGTCTTCAATGGATGTTAACCTGTCTTTTGTGTTTTTATCCCTTTGTTTTCTCTATCTCCTTGTAGGTGATTTCTTTCTGTCTTCTAATTCACACATTCTTTTTTATTGGATTTCTTAATTTCAGTGCCTGTGATTTTCATGTATGTAATTTGTATTTGGATCTTTTTCAAATTCAACATTCTTTTGTGATAAAAAATCTGAGTCTTGCCTAATGTTTTTCATTTGTGTGGTTTTTTTTTCCCAAATGGTAGTTTAAAATCTTTTAAAAATTATTAATAGTATCTCTTTTTCCTATAATACAAATTTTCTGTTTCCTCACATCTGCGGATTCTCTGTGGCTTATTTCTTTACACAATTTGTTATCTTTTTGAAGTCATCTTTAGCAGTTTGCTTTCTGAGAAAGTTTATATTGTAGATGAGTAAATATCCCTATAGGGTGGTTTTCAATATACCTTTACTAGTTGAGAGTTTTCATTGATTCCACACCAGCTTTTCCTGTTTTAAAGTTTTGGCATGGTGTCCTGTAACATCTGGATAAGGTGAATTTGGACTTCCCTCATTTAATGACAAGAGAATCTTTTCTGCCCATGGCTCTGGTTTCGTTTCTGCTCACCTAAGGTTGTGGGTAGAGTTTTTGTAGTCTGTGCTTCACAGGTTTATCCCTTCATGACTCACATGTATCAGCGTCTAGCTTTTACGTTATTTTGGCTTCTGTTCCTGTTTATTGCTCTCACTTTGAATTGCTGCTTTATTCTTAGTACCAGGGAATTTCCTTTGCCTGAGTTTGAGCTTAGCAATGTTTCCTCCATTACATTTTATCAGACATTTCCGTGGATTTAGAGTAGAATAGTCTTCTCAATCATCTGGGTCCATTATATTAATTGGAAACTTCCATTTAAGTCATTCTGATTCTTGTTAGGGAAATTTGAAAAATCAAGTAATGGCACTTCTAAGACACCTTTACCTCTTTCTTAGGTATATTTCTTTTGACCAAGTAATCCTAAGATATAGAAATATGTCTTAAAGCTTCATACTGTTAAAGGATATGGTACTGATCTCCGCCTTTTTTTCCTGGGGATGGAAATTGTGTTTTGTGTTGCTTCTGAATTACATATCTAAGAAAAATAAGATACCTGATTTTTAAAATCCTTAACATGTCTCCTTTACATAACCTGAAAAGATCCTAGATAGTCTAGAAATGTGACATTTCAACAGCAGAAAAAGTTATATGCTTTTGAATATGTTTACTGTGGTGTTAACCTTTAAAAGTGAAAGGGGGACTTAATAGTGACAGAGTTCAGTACATTATGTTAATTTCAGTTTATTGAATTATTGTATAGCCATTTAACATGCTTATAAAGACGGATATTCCTTTTATATTGCTGTGGGAAAACGGTATAAAATTGTGTATATACTATAGATGAAATTTGGAAGGGAATATTAAAAATAAAAATGGTGGGCCGGGCGCGGTGGCTCACGCCTGTAATCCCAGCACTTTGGGAGGCCGAGGCGGGTGGATCACGAGGTCAAGAGATCGAGACCATCCTGGTCAACATGGTGAAACCCCGTCTCTACTAAATATACAAAAAATTAGCTGGGCATGGTGGTGCGTGCCTGTAATCCCAGCTACTCAGGAGGCTGAGGCAGGAGAATTGCCTGAACCCAGGAGGCGGAGGTTGCGGTGAGCCGAGATCGCGCCATTGCACTCCAGCCTGGGTAACAAGAGCGAAACTCCGTCTCAAAAAAAAAAAAAAAAAAAAAAAAAAGAAATAAATAAATAAATAAAAATGGTTGGATGGTGGTGGTAGAATTAGGGGCAGTTTTTCCTTTAAAATCAATTTCTTTTCAATAATATTGTCATTCTTGCAGTCTTAATGTAGGATCAAGTAAACAGTATTCCTATTCTTGCTAGTTTCCAAGTAGAATAAAAAAGCATAATTAAAAGAGTGTTAAGTAGAGAGTGATAGTCACCTTTATATCTGAGGAAGCTTGATACTAAAGTGTGTAGCTGAAATGTGAACCACATTGGGTCTGCTCACTAAACCTCACATTTAGCTCCCCAGTTCCAGCAACACCCCAAACCAGAGCAGATCTTCCCAACACCCTGCCCAGAATTAGAACAGGGCCTGTCTTTGGAGAAGCAAGGTTAGAATTTGTATTCTCTGCAGGTAGGCTAATCCCAAGAAGATAGTGAATGGAACAGAGTTGAACTTGACCAGTTGATTCTTCCTAAATTTGTCAGATAAGTTAGTTCACTTGAAGTTAATAGAGGGCCACAGAAAGGCTAATACTTAGTGTTTGAGTTCCTACCACAAGGAAGGAGGAATCATGAGTTGAGGTTAAGTTCTTAACGGCTATATTCATTTTAGAGTAAGAATGCTATATGTATATATTGGCATTTGTTGATTAGGTCACTTGATAAGTTTAATTTTAATTTTTGTTAGGATCTTCAGTATATTTCACTTATTACTTTCTGCTTTTAGGCGTTTAAATGCAGAATTGCAGGCAAAAACAGCTGACGTGGTTCGACAAGCTAAGGAAATAATTGTAAGTAAAGGTACAGTTATTAATTCCATATAAGTGCTTGTGTTTTAACTTTTTAATTTGATATATGATCTATGTACAAAAAATTAGCAAAAGCATGAGTGTTCAGTTCAATGAATTATTATAAACATGAATATATATACATAGGTATAGGTATGTGTGTATGTGTAAGTTTTTAGTAAGCACACATTTTCTGAAAGCCACTGAAAAATTATTTTCCGTTTAGATGCACCAGTCATCTAAATTCTCATTGTAAATTATCATTATTAATTGATAGGATAGAGTAGCTCTCGTTAGAGGAGCAAAGAGTCTACTTTCAAGCTTTCTGCCAGTTCTTACCCAATTTTAAATCTTAATTTCTGCCCCCCATCCCCCAGAATGGAGTTGATGGAACCAGGGAAGAAAACCTAGGCAGTATTTTATCTTAATGCCTTGTACAAATCAATGATTATTTGTTAGTTAAGGAATAAGAAATGTATCATACATAACATTTAAAGTAACATTTTGATAATGGCTACAGATTTGCTAGTTAGATTTATAATTAAATGTTTTACTAAAAATATTTTTATTCCATCTTTTAGTTTTTGCCAGTGTCTGAAGAGTAGGAAAATACTTGTACAAAAGGACCCCACATTATAGTAGACTGACAGATTTATTGCGTTTTCTGCTTAGAGAGCTCCCTAAAAAGTATTTCCCCTGCAAATAAAAAACATAATAGAAAACTGAGACAAGCTAGGAAAGGGGTTGGGGAGTGGTTTCCCACCCTTGCAGAAGCGAACAATATAAGGTTTTTCATATTTAATTTTTGTTTACTCTCTTTAAAATTTTAATGTTTGTAGTTACATAGTAAGTGTGTATATTTATGAGGTAAATGAGATATTTTGATACAGGCATGCATTGTGTAATAATCACATTATGGAAAATGGGGTATCCATCCCTCAAGTATTTATCCTTTATGTTACAATCCAATTACACTCTTTTAGTATTTTTAAATGTACAATTATTTTGACTATAATAAACCTGTGTGCTATCAAATACTATATACTATTCATTCTTTCTAATTATTTTTTTTTGTACCCATTAACCATCCTTATCTCCCTCCCCTGCATCCCCCACTATCCTTCCCAACCTCTGGTAACCATGCTTAACTCTCTATCTCCATATGTTAAGTTGTTTTGATTTTCAGATAGCTCAAATAAGTGAGAATATGTAATTTTTGTCTTTCTGAGCTGGGCTTATTTCACTCAGTGACTTCCGGTTACATCCATGTTGTTGCAAGTGCCAGGGCCTCGTTATCTTTTATGGCTGAACAGTACTCCATTGTGTATACGTACCACATTTTATTTATCTGTTCATTTGTTCGAGGACACTTTGGTTGCTTCCAGATCTTGGCTGTTGCGAATAGTGCTGCGGCAAACATGGAAGTGCACGTATCTCTTTGATATACTGATTTCCCCTCTTTGGGGCATATACCCAGAAGTGGGATTGCTGGATCGTATGATAACTTTAATTTTTTGAGGAACCTCCAAACTGTTTCCTTTGTGGTTGTACTAATTTACATTCCCACCAACAGTGTACCAGGGTTCCCTTTTTCCGCATCCTTACCAGTGTTTGTTAACGCCTGTCTTTTGGATATCAGCCATGTTATCAGAGGTGAGATGATACTGTAGTTTTGATTTGCATTTCTCTGATGATCAGTGATGTTGAACACGTTTTTTAATGCCTGTTTGCCATTTGTATTTTTTTTGATAAATGTCTATTCAGATCTTTTGCCCATTTTTGAATTGGGTTATTAGATTTTTTTCCTATAGGGTTGTTTGAGCTCTGTATATTTTCTGCCTCGTAATCCCTTGTAATGAGTAGTTTGCAAATATTTTCTCCCAATCTGTGAGTTGTCTCTTCAATTTATTGATTTAACTTGATGTGATCCCATTTGTCCATTTTTGCTTTGGTTACCTGTGCCTGTGGCATATTATTTAAAAAATCATTGTCTACTCCAATGTCCTCTGTTTCCCCAAAGTTTTCTTCTAGTAATTTCATGGTTTTAACTTCTTAGGTTTAAGTCTTTAATCCATTTTGATTTAATATTTGTATATGGGAAGAGGAAGGTGTCTAGTCTTGCTCTTCTGCATGTGGATATTCAGTTTTCCCAGCACCGTTTATTGAAGACACTGTCCTTTATCCAGTATGTGTTCTTGGCAACCTTGTCAAAAATGAGTTCACTGTAGGTGTGTGGATTTGTTTCTGGATTTTTCTCAATTCTGTTCGATTGGTCTGTGTGTCTGTTTTTATGCCACTTCTGTGATGTTTTGGTTACTATAGCTTGATAGTATAATTTGAAGTCAGGTAATATGATTTATCCAGTTTTGCTCCTTTTGCTTAACATAGCTTTGTCTGTTCTGGGACTTTTGCGCTTTCGTATAAATTTTAGGATTGTTTTTTTCTATTTATGTGAAAATACAGTTGGTATTTTGAAAGGGGTTGCATTGAGTCTGTTGATTGCTTTGGGTAGTATGGACATTTTAACAATACTGATTTTTCTAATCCATGAACATGAAATATCTTTTCATTTTTTTGTGTCCTCTTCAGTTTATTGCTTTGATGTTTTATGGTTTTTATTGTAGAGCTCTTTTACTGCTTTGATTATGTCAACCCCTAGGATTTAATTTTATTTGTGGCCCTTACTTTATTTGTGGGATAACTTTTTAATTTTGTTTCCGATTGTTGACATTGGCATATAGAAACGCTACTGATTTTTGTATGTTGATCTTGTATTCTGCAACTTTACTGAGTTTATCACTTATAATAATTTTTGATGGAGTCTTTAGTTTTTTCCTTGTATAAGAGCATACCATCTGCAAACAAGGATAATTTGAGTTCTTCCTTCTGATTTGAATGTTCTTTATTACTTTGTCTTGTCTGATTGCTCTAGTTAGGACTTTCAGTACTGTGTTGAATAACAGTGGTGAAAGTGGGCCAGTTCTTAAAGGAAAGGCATTGGGTTTTTCCTATTTGGTATGACACTAGCTGTGGGTCTGTCATATATGGCTAGTATTATATTGAGGTCTGTTCCTTTCATACCTAGTTTTTTAAGTGTTTATCGTGAAGGGATGTTAAATTTTATCTAATGCTTTTCCAGGATCAGTTGAAATGATCATATGGTTTTTGTCCTTCATTCTGTTGATATGATGTATCACACTGATTGATTTGTGTATGTTGAACCAGACTTACATCCCTGGGGTAAATCCCATGTGGTCAGGGCAAATTATATTTTTAATGTGTTACGGAATTCACTTTGCTAGTGTTTTTTGAGGATGTTTACATCAACATTCATTGGAGATAATTGGCCTGTAGTTTTCTTTTTTTGATATGTCTTTGTCTGGTTTTGTATCACGGTAATACTAGCCTCATAAAATGAGTTTGGAAGTACTCCCTCCTCCAATTTTCGAAATAGTTTGGGTAGGATCAGTATTAGTTCTCTAAATGTTGGATAGAATTCAGCAGTGCAGTCATCAGGTCCTGGGCTTTTCTTTACTGGGAAAATGTTTTATTGTGGCTTCACTCTTGTTACTTGTTATTGTTCTGTTTAGGTTTTGGATTTCTTCATGGTTCAATCTTGGTAGGTTGTATGTGTGTGTCTAGGAATTTATTGGTTTCCTCTAGATTTTCCAATTTATTGGCATACAGTTGTTCATAATAGCTACTAACGAGCCTTTGAATTTCCGCAGTGTCAGTTGTAATGCCTCATTTTAAATCTCTAATTGTATTTATTTGGGTTATCTCCCTTCTTTGTTACTCTGCTAATTTTGCTTATCTTTTAAAAAAACAACTTTTTGTTTCATTGATCTTTTCTTCATTTCAAATTCATTTATTTTTGCTCTGATCTTCATCTTTTGGTAATTTTGGATTTGGTTTGCTCTTGCTTTTCTGGTTCTTTAAGATACATTGCTGGCTGGATGTGATGGCTGATGCCTGTAATCTTAGCACTTTGGGAGGCCAAGGCAAGTGGATTACTTGAGCCCAGGAGTTTGAGACCAGCCTGGGCAACACGGTGAAACTCCATCTCTACAAAAAATACAAATTAGTCAGATGCGGTGGTGCATGCCGCAGTCCCAACTACTTGGGGGGCTAAGGAGGAAGGATTGGTGAGCCCAGGGAGGTCCAGGCTGTAGTAAGCCATGACTGTGCCACTACACTACAGCCTGGGCAACAGGGTGCATCTCTGGAGAAGAAAACAGAAAGAAAAAAAAAGATGCATTGCTATTGCATTTATTTGAAATTTTTATTCTTTTTTGTTATAGGCACTTACAGCTACATATTTCCCTCTTAGTACTGTTTTCAGTCTATCTCATAGATCTTGGTATGTTGTGTTTCCATTATCATTTGTTTCAAGAAATTTCTAAATTTCCTTCTTAATTTCTTCATTGACCCATTGGTCATTTAGGAGCATATTGCCTAATTTCTATGTCTTTGTATAGTTTCCAAAGTTGTTCTTATTCTCGTTTTATTTCATGTGGTCAGAGAAGAAGCTTGATATTGTTTCAGTTTTTAAAATATTTTACAACTTGTTTTGTGACCTAAAATACATGGCCTGTTCTTGAGAAGGATATATATGCTGAGAAGAATAATGTGTCTTCTGTAGTCTTTGGATGAAATGTTCTGCAATGTCTGTTGGGTCCATTTGTTCTGTAGTGCAGGGTGAGTCTGATGGTTGTTGAGTTTCTGGGAGAGCTGTTCAGTGCTAAAAGTGGTGCTGAGGTTTTCAGCTATTATTGTATTGCGGTCTAGCTCTCCCTTTAGCTCAAATAATATTTGCTTTATGTATCTCGGTGCTCCAGTGTTGTGTCCATATATATTTACAGTGATTATATCCTGTTTTTGGGTGAACCTTGTTAGCATTATATAATGACCTTCTTTATGTCTTATTACAGTTTTTGTTTTGAAATCTATTTTGTTTAAGTCTAGGTTCTCCTGCCTTTTTGTTTGTTTGTTTCCATTGGTGTAGAATATCTTTTTCTACCCAAAAGATATTCAGTCTATGTATATCTTTTTCAGTCTATGTATATCTTTATAGGTGAAGTGTGTTTGTTGTAAGCAACAGATCATGGGGTCTTGTTTCATCATCCATTCAGTCAGTCTATATTTTGATTGAAGAATTTAGTCTACTTACATTGAGGGTTATTACTAATAAGGGACTTAATCCTGCCATTTCATTAGTTGTTTTCTGGTTGTCTTAATAGTATCCCTTCCTGTCTTCTTTTTATTGAAAGTGATTTTTTCTTGTGGTATAATTTCCTGATTTTTATTTTTTGTGTGGTCATTGTATGTTTTTTGAATTAAGGTTACTGTGAGGCTTGCAAATACTATCTTGTAAGCCATCGATCTAAGCTGATGACATGTTGACACTGATTACATAAACAGACATGCAAAAAGAAAAGTAATAAAAACTCTATATTTTTATCTCCCTAGTTTTTAACTTGTTCCTGTTTATCTTATTGTACTATGTCTTAAAAAGTTGTCATAATTATTATTTTTAATTGGTTCATCATTCAGTCTTTCTACTCAAGAGTAGTTTATACATAATTATGGTGTTATAATATTCTGTGTTTTTCTATGTGTTTACTATTACCAGTGAGTTTTGTACCTTGAGATGATTTCTTCTTACTCATTAACATTCTTTTTTGTTAAAGAATTAACCTTCAGCATTTCTTGTAGGACAGGTCTAGTGTTGATAGAATGCCTCAGCTTTTGTTTTTCTGGAAAGTTCTGTTGTTCTCTTTCATGTTAAAGGCTGTTTTTGCTGGATATACTATTCTAAGGTAAATGACTTTTTTTTCTTTCAGCACTTTAAAAATATCATGCCACTGTCTCCTGGTCTGTAAGGTTTCCACTGAGAAGTCTGCTGCTTGATGTATTGGTGCTTCTTTGTGTGTTGTTTGTTGCTTATCTCTTGCTGTTTTTAGGATCATTTCTTTATCCTTGACCTT